CGCACCGCCGGGGCAGCTGCACGCAGGCACTCTCTTGTCATGGTCGCCGGCTCAACGATCGGCTTGAAGAGGCCACCAGAAGATGGGATCGGCCCGGTCAGATCGAAACCTTTGCCAATCTCTGAGGCTATGGACGTGTCCCCATAGCCGCTGTCGGCCAGCATCTCACCAAAAACCAACAACCTTTTACCCTCAAGAACTTCCGCAAGGTGCTTCGGCATGCTTGCATGTAGCTGTGCCTCCCTGGACTCTAACTCCTGCGCCCGAAGCATCCAACGCCTGAGCACCTCAGTTCGATGCTGACTCAGCGCGGTTTCAGACATCACAAGGGTAGCATCAATCGCAGCTTTGAGGACGGGCGGTACGGCATCAAAGAGATGTCTCGGGTGTCCACGCCGAGCAGCTTCTCTTGCAAAGTCGCGCGGCTCCCAAGGCACACCAACTGTCATGCGGATTTTCGTCTCCGGGCGATGTGCAGCCACGGAGTTCGGCTGACACCACGGCAAAGGGAACCCACACGACAACAGCAGCTGTTCGTGCTCTGAAGACAAGTCACCTTGGGAGACGGCCGAATATGCAATAATCGTCCACCTGTCACCTTCCCAGGGCAAGGTTGCATGTCGAGCGAATCCGTCAAAGGTGCACGGCTCCAGGTTGAGCGCATGTTTCTCGCCCCACAGCCACTCGCCCGTGGCATTATCATGAAACGGAACGGAGCCTCCAGGGGCCTCGACAAAGAGTTCGCCCCCTGCGTAACTCCCAAGGCCTACGGCAAAGTTCTTTGAACCTGGCACGTTGCATGTGTCAACATGTAACGCAGACGCCTCGTTGTGAGTCACAACGAAGGCCGACCACGCGGCACCCGGGAATCTCTGCATCAAGAACGCGTTGATAAAGGATGCAGTGCTAAGGTGTTGACGAGTTAGTTTGGTGACCCCAATCCTGGGCAGGCACTTATAGGCTCCAAGCACAAAGTAGTTGGCACTTCCTGAGTCGGCGAGGACTCCAGGCCGCCTGGCTTCAAGAGGTTCCGCGAAGGATTGGGCCAGAACCTGCAAGCAAGTCGATGACGAAAAGTCGCCTTTGTACAAAGAGTCGGAGCAAAATGTTGAATGACTGTCGCCCTCGTGACTCCCCTCGCAAGGTAGGGCGGCAAGCACACGGGTTTTTGCAGGGAAAAGGGGGCATGGCGGCTGACATGACACTTGAGAGCTCGGCAGCCAAGGGGAAGCGAAGGCGGGACCAGCTGGTAGAGCACTAGCGGGTCCTTCAAGAACACAAATGGTCTTGTGTTCAGGCAACAAAGCGGGCACACGCTTGCCCCGGGGTTGAGCTCCCACGGCAATTCGGGCTTGCAAGTGAGGGTCGAGGAAACCCGGCAGGGACTGAGGCGGGGGCTGGGCGCCGGCCTGAAGCAGAGCCTCGGAAAGGGCAATCGCATAGGTTTGGCAGAACTTGCTGGGGTATGTGGCTGCGTGCTTCCACGGTGCGGCATGAGTGGGATGCTCAGACGGGTGATTACAAGCAACTTGCAAAACAGAAAAGGTCGGGTGGCAGTGAGCGATGCGCAACTGACGTTTAAATGTTGCACCAAACATGCATGTATGCAAAACCGTGAAGAAAATATGCTGAAGGGATTGCTCGACCTGAAGCCACGCACTGGTTTGCCAGAAGTAGCTCGAGGCCGGGTTTTCAAGCGTGGCCAAAATGCCCGCCTGAGTGGCCCTGAGGAAGATGACCGAGCTCAAGGCGTAGAGCTGATTAAACGAAAAAACCTTGTCAGCTTCAACGGGCAGCAGGCCTGGCAGACCGTTAGGAAAAGTTGAAGAGCGCAGCTGAGAACCGCGACCCCTCGAAGGCAACGACGCAGGCGGCGCCAGATGCACTGCAGCCAAGGCTCGGTTGTCTAACAACAGGAAAAGAACTTGAACATCTTCATGCAACTGCAAATCAAGCTTGACAATAGGAGCAGGGGCAGACTTGGGGATCCAAGCATCAATGCCGAAAACACTGCCGATGCCCGTCTTGTGGACGGCTGCAGCAAGGCGAGCGGAGCCCGCGAAAACCTCGACGAAGAACAACGACTGCAAGGGCCTGCCGCACACGCGGGCCTGCACAACATGCTGAAAGGAGTCGGATGCGCTGGATTCCGGCGCATGCGGCTGGCCAACCTCTCAAGATTGACGCTGCTGCTTATGCTTGCCCTTGCCTTTCCCTTTATGGTTAGGAGCCGGTGGGGCAGGCGGCAGAGTGGCAGGGGCAGAGGGTGCAGGAGGCTTGGGAGGAAATGTGGATGCAGGGGCCTGTGCCTGTGGCGCAGACGTGCCCGCTAGAGCCAGGGCCTCTTGCAAGCGTTGCTTCTGTCGATCGCGTCGTGCCTTGGTGCGAGACTTCTTGGCAGGCGCAGCCGGATCAACAGCGGCGGTCGCCGTGTGTTCAGGTGGCGCAGGCCGCTTGTGGTGCCCACCACCGGGAAGGGGCATGAGGAACATCATGACCTCAGTAGCTCCAGTGAGCGAAGCAAAAAGGTCATCCATGGGCAAGGAACCATCGGCACGCTTCTTCAAGGAGTTCGCTTTCTCAGCCATGTAGGTCCATGCAGCGCGGTCCGCGCGAAGGATTTGCATTATGTCCACCTGTTTATACTCCATTGGCGGGGCCTGCTGCAAGTGACGTAGCAACTCGGCATGCCAGCGCTCCGAGGCTTCGAAGGTCGCCGCTTCACACAAGTCTAGGGCCAAGGAACGTCTTTGCAGGGCTTGCGACAGGCTGAGAGCATCAGGCAAGTTGCAGGTGTCGGCTATCTCAGAAGAATCCCTAACTTTGATAGACGAAGAAGAGTCAATGATGACCTCCTTGGGCGGCTTGGCCTGTTGCACCTCATGCGCCCTGGTCGTGAACCGATTGGGCGCCAAGTATGAAATCTCGTCTGCCGCAAGCATACGGATGACGATGGTGTAACAACTGAAGGAACACTCGAGAGGGCCGCGCAATGACATGCCTTGCAATCGACGTGCTTGCTCTGTAAGCCTGAAGCGCCGCTCCGCTGGTTGAAGATCCTGCCGCTTCTCATCTGGGCCCTCGATTTGCTGCCTGAGTTGGCT